AGTAGACAAAGGAGGCAAAGGGGGAAGTGGAAGGTGACCATTAAATTAGGGGCTAAAGGCGGGGGGAGGGAAAGGAGGGGAGGTAGTAGGTAGGTAGGAGTGCCAGACAACTTCAGAAAAGAGTGAAGATTCCACACTGGATTGCAGCAATCTTGTGAGGCATATTTATTTTTGGGGAATTGTGCCAAGTTTTTTCTTTTCTCTTCTTTTCTTTTCTTTTCTTTTAGGCAAATTCTTATGCAGGTACTTCCTGATGCAAATGACCGTGAGGATTCGAGAATGTCAAAGGAACGTTGGGAAGTTGTTTTTTTTTTCTTTTTCTTCTTTTTTGGAACATTTCTTGATTTATGTGTGTCATCCTTGCACAGGGGCCATCCTAATAATCTTCTTTCTCTGTATTGTTCCAAATTTAATGGATGTCCCGACAGACACGTTGGGAAGTGTTTGGCTGGCAAGTCCTCAGTCTTCTCAGCCAGAATGGGGAACGGCGTGGTACGCGTATTATTGCCGTATGTGCTTTATGACTTGCTGGTGGAAAGGATCCGGACTGACACAGGCGAGGAGAATGCAGTCCTAATGCCTCTGTTTTTTTTTTTTGTTTTTTTTTTTTTTTGTTTTTTTTCTGAGTACGGATCCGGGCTGCCCGGCCGACCGGTGCCCGCCGGGGGAGGTCCCGGGTGGCCTGGCCGGGCGGGCGGCCCAGTTGGGGGCCAGGCACCCCCAGCACACTTTGTTGGCAGGGGGTTTCCGACCCCACATCGGGTGGTTTTCGCCTCCCGAGGGCCTACCAGGTCCGACCACGCCGAGAAAACGGCGCGTCGGGCCTGTGAGGCCTGTTTTTTTTTTTGAATTTGGGACGGCCCTCTGGCCGTCGATCATCCATGATCGACAGCCAGAGGGCCGTTCGTTTTTGGAGGGAAACGGAGGCCCCGTTTGAACTAGCGACTGGCTGGGGCGGGCTGCATTGGCTGTCCAAACGGGGCCTCGATAGCTGCTCCAGCCGCCTGCGTTCGTGCTGCTGCCCCTCGTCGATGTAGCTGCCCTCGTCGCCATCGCCTGGGAGCTTCACTCGCCCGTCGTCGTCGTGTCGCCCGTCGCCAGCGTCGTCGATCGTGGTGCTCCTGCCTGCCGACATCCCCTGCCGCCCGTCGACGTGGAGTGCCGGTCTTCTTCTTCTTCTTCTTCTTCTTCTTCTTCTTCTTCTTCTTCGTCTTCGTCTTCTTCTTCTTCGTTCTTCTTCTTCTTCTTCCCTCCTCCTCCGCTCATTCTTCTGCTTCTTCTTCTCTCGTCCTCCTCCTCCCCCTCTCTTCTTCTTCTTCTTCTTCTTCTTCTTCTTCTTCTTCTTCTTCTTCTTCTTCTTCTTCTTATACTTCTTCTGCTTTTCTTCTTCCACGACTTCTTCACTCCTCCTCCTCCTCCCCCTCTCATCTTATTCTTCTTCTTCTTCATCTCTCGTCGTCGTCCTCCCCCTCATCTTCTTCTTCTTATTCTTCTCTCCTCCTCCTCCTCTTCTGACTATCTTCTTTTTCTTCCTTTTTTTGACATTCATTAGCGATAGGTCACGAGATAAACGACAGGTAAGAAAAAAAAAAAAAAAAAACTGCTCCGCTCTTCTTCTTCTTCTTCTTCTTCTTCTTCTTCTTCTTCTTCTTCTTCTACTACTACTACTACTACTACTACTACTCTCCTGCTCCTTCTCCGATCATTCTTCCGCCTCTTGTCTCCTCCTCCTCCTCCCCCTCTCATCATCATCAACTTCTTCTTCTTCTTCTTCTTCTTCTTCTTATAGTTCTGCTTTTCTTCTTCTTCGAGTTCTTCACTGCTGCTCCTACCCCTATCATCTTCTTCTTCTTTATCTTCTTCTCTCCTCCTCCTCCTCCCCCTCATCTTTTTCTTCTTCTTCTTCTCTCCTAACACTCTTCCCTCCGCCGTACCCCGCCGTCATACCCCACCGCCATACCCCGCCGTCATACCCCCACGCCGCCGCCATACCCTAACGCCTGCATAGCACATCTTCTTCTTCTTTTTCTTCTTCTTCTTCTTCTTCTTCTTCTTCTTCTTCTCCTCCTCCTCCTCCTCCGCCTCCCACTCATCTTCTTCTTCTTTCTCTTCTCTCCTCCTCCTCCTCTTCCGCCCATCTTATTCTTCTTCTTCTTCTTCATCTCTCGTCGTCGTCCTCCCCCTCATCTTCTTCTTCTTATTCTTCTCTCCTCCTCCTCCTCTTCCGATGATCTTCTTTTTCTTCTTTTTTTTTAAATTCGTTAGCAATAGGTCGCGAGATAAACGACAGGTAAGGGAAAAAAAAAAAAAAAACTGCTCCGCTCGTCATCATCATCATCTTCTTCTTCTTCTTCTTCTTCTTCTTCTTCTTCTTC